CGGTCTACCTGGACAGGATCCTCCTAGGTCCCGGTCTACCTGGACAGGACCCTCCTAGGACCCGGACCCGGTCTACCTGGACAGGACCCTCCTAGGACCCGGACCCGGTCTACCTGGACAGGACCCTCCTCGGACCCGGACCCGGTCTACCTGGACAGGATCCTCCTAGGTCTGTAAAAAGAAGGAGGCTGGAAGAGTTACGGCTGTGGATTCAAACAGGTCCAGCCTTCTCTGGATTTCATCGTCCGTATGTTCTGTCGCCTAGCAACCATTACAGGTGACACACAAAGCAGGAAAAGAATGGATGCTGAGCTTCTCCCTGCTGTTCTGGCTGCTTTCTAAGGAGCTTCAGCAGCAGTACGGTCGTCTCAGATATCAGATTAATAGTCCCAACCCTGCAGAGATATTAGAATCTGAGCTTGAATGATTTTAACACAGTAACAGAATAAACCAAACATTACTGACACATATCTGACCATTAAAACAACTATTTTCATTCATTTTAGAGAGAACTATTCACTGACTTGGATTATATTAAACTGCACTTCCAATATTCACCACTGTTCGGCGCCATTTCCCTTTATCCTCTGAGCACAGAGCAGCTGGGCTGCTTGGTCTCTCAATGAATCCTGGAAAAACCAAGGATAGCGAGGACACAGCGGACCCGGCCTTCAAATCGGGCAAAAAGAATGACGCATTTATCGGCCGCATGATGAGGAGTCTTGGAATCTAAAGAGACCTCGGCGCCGCGCTATGACGTCATCAGCCGACCAATGTTTGGAGAACGCAGACGCTGGATTCGAATTCAGCAAATAAGTCCAGGTTCCTCAGGTGACAGGACCCAGAGAAAGGTCAGAGGTCACTACAGACGTCGTGACCTTTAGCAGGAGGGAGGTCTCCACCAACCAGGAGGAAGAACCTCCTAGATAGACCACAACCTGCCCTGTGGGGGACTCAGCCAATCAGCACCAGCCTCTTGAAACAGAAGCGCCCAAGCTGCCAGTGAGCGACCCGGGACAGATCTAACGCTGCATGGCGGCCTGACAGTGGATAGCGACTCACCCGCTGAGCGTTGATGAACAGCCTGTGGATGGTTCTGCCGATCCGGGCCTGTCCAGCTCCCATCACCTCCACCTCCGGTTCCTCCAGCAGGGAGGTGATGAACCTTGAACAAAGAGAACAGCGAGTTCTCCTCAGGAAGCTCTGCAGGTTCACGGCTCCTCATCGGGACTCGCAGGAGGAACTTACCGCTTCAGCTCCGCCGGACCTTCATTATCTTCTTCCTCATCCACAGCAAACTTGGCCTGGAGCGAACGCGCTTCAGCGATCGCCGTCTCCATGGCAACCAACTGGTTGATAAAATCCTGAAACAGTCGGACATGCATGAGGTCAGAACAGTGTCTAAGCCCTAGAGGGCCTCAAAGGTACTGCAGCACTGACCTCCACCTTCTTGTGGTCCCGGTTAGCGGCGTGCAGCAGCTTGTTAGCTTGGCTGGTTGCCTGTTGGAGGCTCTTTTCCACTGATGGGATGTTTTCCAGCGACTCTGGAGGACAGAGATGAAGAAAACCGTCACAGAGGATGAAAGTCCGTTTATTTCAAAGAAGAAGCACCACCAACCAACAGGGGGCAAACATTGGACACTCTATAATGTTAGCAGGCCTGCTCTAAAACACCTAAATTTGACCTTTGACCTCTTCTAACGAGGGTAGGCCAATAAACTGCATCTGCAATGAAATCACAATTTTCCAACCGCAGAGCCGCTCAGTTTAACGAGACTTAAGACGCTGACCTTCTCCCTCCAGCCCACAGGTGGCAGTATGATGTCTGACACCTGTGTGAGATACCAGCATGGCAGCAGAAGAAAGCACTTTTTCAAAACAACGGGAAGTCCTGGAAAATGGTCTCTGGAGCAGAAAGCTCTGAAGATCCGTAGAACCATGAAACGTCTCAGATGTTTCCTTCATCAGAACCAGAGTCAGCTCCAAACGGGCCTTAGAGCGCCCCCTCCAGGAAGCAGCTAGCTTCACCGCGCTGAAAACAAACGGCCACTTTATCAGGGAGGGGAGAAGAGGGAGAGCCTGGATTCAGGGTCAAAGTTCAGACTGGGGATAAAAATGATCAATTGATCACTGCATCCATTTTATTCTCCACGTTTATCATCCAGATCTTTGGAATTATAGGAATATCCCTGCATACAGTCTTTAAAACCTTAAAATAATATTAGAGGAAACAAAACTACTTTAAATAAGTTCTGCTGCTTCACCTGCAGAGAAACAAATCAGAAATATGAGAGAAAAAAAAAACTATCAAAATAGTAAAAACGGCAAAAATAACAGCTTATAAAAAGTAATAAAACAGTGAAAAGAGCCTCAAATGAAGGATTTCCCTTCAGTCTAAGGCAGCTTATCTGTCATGATCTATTCACTGATTTCTAGAAGCAGCATCATGTTCGGTTTGTGTTTTAGCTGAAATAAATCTGCCGCCATCATTAAAGGTCTGCAAACAGCTTTGTGCTGTCAGACTTTTTCAAAACCAGCTTCAGCTTCTTTCGGGAAGAAGCTCCTCCCCCTTCCGCCATGTTGGAAAGTTGTGTGGAGCAGCAGGTACGGATCAGCAGATGATAAACTGAAGGCTGCTTCAGCAGCTAACCTGCTCCGCTAACCTCTGGGCAGTTGCTGATCGTTCAGCCATACGATGAGATGGGAATTGCTTCCCTTTGCTGAGACTGGAAGGAATCACTGCTCTGATGTTCTGGAGGCTGAAGCTCGTCAGATTCCTGCCTGCAGGCGACTGGAGGGCTGGAAGAAGCAGTCTGTGGGAACTTTAGAGGCTTTCAGGATCTACAGACGGCTTCAGGGGTCCAATCTAACTGTTTTAGTTCTCACAGCCTACTCTAATGTGTTTCTATCAAACTGTTGATTCTCCTGTTAGAAAGCAGACACCAGCTAGCGCCGCCGCCCTGGCAGAACCGGTTCCAGTTAGCATAGGAGCTAAAGATGCTAACTGAAGGGGATTAGAGCCTCTTTGGTGCCTCCATGTTTGGTTGAACACCCTGTTGCACTTGGGGGGGTTAAAGTCTACCTGCCCTGGTCAGCTGACCCCTACAGGAAGAAACCATCTCTGTGGGACTATCAGGAATCAGACGGAGGTGGTTTCCAGGGCAACAGCAGCATCCCTGCACTGACATGATCCTCCATCATGAGAAGAAGGCTTGGGGCAGTTGGCCCAGACGGCCCAGCTGGGAGGAACGTCAGCCTCGGATCTGAGGAGGACCAGAACGTGTGCGAAGAACTCCCTTTTGGGGTTTCTGCTAAAATCAATTAGTGGCTAAAAAGCAACATGAGAGCAAAGATCCAGGATGGAGAGAAAGACTGAAGGTGGAGGAGGACCTGGAACCAGGCTGGAGCTGCTTCTGGCTCAGAATCTGCTCCAAACCCAGGAGGTCCCACTGAGTCCAGGAGGAGCTAGAAGCTCCTGAAGGTTGCTGCTTCTGCTCTGGACTGGTTCCAGTTTGGACCCACCTCAGACCTCTAGATGATGGGCAGGTCTTACCTTCCTGCTTCAGCTTCAGGATGGCAGCATGAAGAATGCAGGGCAGCAGGTGATGAGCCAGGTCTGCAGGCTTCAGCATGGCCAGATAATGCAGCACCTGCAGAAAGGACAGTGTTTGACCTTTGACCCTGAAGAAGACCCGTTCTAAATTTTCTCCGAACTGAGGAGCGGTCTGACTGGATTCAGATCTACTTCCTGGAGAAGAACATCTGGTCAGAAGTTGATCTCACCTTCTCTGCCTCCTTGGTGTCGTCAAACAGTCTCTTCTGGCGGCGCGCAGGCGTCACTCTGGCAGAGTCCCAGGCCTCCACCCACATGTTCCCTGGGATTTTCATTCGGGCGCTGAGTTCTCCTCTCAGGACCGTCTGCCCCGTCTCGTCCACCACTTCTTCTTCGACGTAGTCCCTGGGTGAGTACCAGCGGACAAAGTCCTCCAGGAGACAGCCGGGGTTGGCCGCCTGAGGAGGAGCACAGGTAGAGGCCTGGGTTCTACAGCCAGAGACCTGGGCTGGGTGGAGCATCACTGAACATCTACTGGGGGGGGGGGCTCACCTTAAAGGACTCCATATCCGAGAGCAGACAGGCGCTCTGCATCCGAGCACGCAGGTGGGTTCCTTCAGCTGACGTCCCCAACTTAGCCAGGACCTCCGACTGCTCCTCCAGCTGATCCTCCGTCATGGGCGCCGGTTCCTGAACAAACGGAGCCGCCGCAGTCAGACCCAACAGCAGCGCTCTACCTCCAGAGGAAGAAGCAGAGGGAGGCTACCTGAGTGACGGGAACATAGAGCGGCTCTGCAGACGCCAGCAGGGTCATGTTGTTGTAGGGGTGCAGACGGCCCTCAGCTTTCCCCTTACTGCCGTCCCTCCCCCCCTCGTTCTGGGACGCCTCCATGTCCCCCTGGTCACTCAGGCATTCAAAGAACTCGTCCTCGCTGTCGCTCCAGGAGTCCCAGGACTTTCCTCCAGAGCCCTCTCTGGTGGAGGAGGCGGAGGCTCGTCCTCCTGACGCCGGGCGCTCCCTCTCTCTGCTGCCCTCCTGAGCCTTACGAGCTTCATCTCTGCTCCTCTTCCTCTCTATGCAGCAGTTCAGCATCTGTCCACAATCAGAAGCATTTTAAACATGATGGGACGACCAGCAGAAGGTTCTCCATCTTTTTACGGAGCAGCTTCGCTACCTGGAGCTTCTGGTGCAGAAGACAACAGCGAAGGTCAGGAGGTCCAGCTGCTAACCTGCACAGGAAGCAACACTTCATGTTAATCAGCATCTCCCTCCTTTGATGCCAAACATCACTGGTTTCCTCTCCACTGTCACTACAAGCATGCTCAGTGTGAGGGATTGCTGAAGAGTCAATGATTCGATGCAATCAGCTGGTTTTCCTTAGATAGAAACTTTTGATTCATTTTGCTTGGTTGTTTTGTTGAACTGTAAAGAGACCTGAGATTGGAGCTATAGAAATAAACTGAATAGAATTGGTTCCACTCATGGTTTAATAATCTGCCATGTTCAGCTCTCTGATTTCAGCTGTTTTAAAGCTTCGACGGTCCGTCTGTTAACCCACCCATAGATCAGGTAGTTGTTTTCCCAGCGGTAGCGCAGCTCCAGAACAAACTCCTGCCAGAGGTGGGTGACGGCAGGCAGGCCGCCGTAGCTGTAGTTGACCATGCAGAGACACAAGGCCAGGCGGTACGTCAGGCTGTCTGAAGGCGCCGACTTCAGGTGGAGGAACAGGTTCTAGAGAGAGAAACCAGGAACTTTCAGAGAAGCAACCACAGGGACCCAACTAGAGGGTCATGGTCAGAGACTAGAGTTAGAAGCCGAGCTCTGGCGCAGTCCTCCTTTAATATTAGTATTTTTCATCATTTGGTATTTAATTCCATAAAAGCAGAGTGGCTAGTCCATGTGACGTCCCTGGACTGATTGCTAAGCATCAGTGGGTGAAATACCTTCTAAACCAAGATGCATCCTGGACCTCTGTAGACGACGATGCTAAGGGCTAGCGGGGCTCCAGACGCAGGCTTGAAAAACTTATGAAGCAATGACAGAACATTGCAGCTATGATGGATGATAAGCTAGAGCTGCACAATATCAACATGAACGTCACTCAGAGTGTAAAGAAATGATTGATGGGAACAGACACCTTGGAAAAAACTAGGCAGGAACTATGAACTACATGTCCAGAAAGTTCCATTAGATCCACAGGTTCTGGTATCTGCTTCTCTCTGGGGAACCGTCTTCATCTTTCCCATCAGGAAGGTTCGGCTGCTTCTGATTGGACCAGCTTGGTCTTCTGACATCATCACTTCTACTTGCAGTATCAACTTGCTTCTAGGGCTAAATTAAAACGCTTTTCTTAAAAGCCACTTTATTCTTTGTCAACAATATTTTCTCTGCCTTTACTCTTTTATAATAAAAACAGAACAGCTGTTTAATTCTGGCCGATGGTTTTGTAATTAGAATATTACACTAGAAATTGTCAGCTGGGTTAATTGGTTAATCACTTTTAAAGAATAATCGTACCTGATACAGGAAAAGGTCAGTTCATTGAGCTCATCTTAAAACAACTTTACAATTTCCTGTTCAATGTTGTTTAAAAAAGCTTTTTTTCTCCTCTTATGATGGCGGTTTCTGAACTAAGTGAAAATTGGCTTAAATAATCTGGGTCGACACATCTGGACAATGTGAAACCAGCGGGCATGGCGGTGTCCAGGAGGCGTGCTAAACTGGTTCCTTTATTACCTGATTCTATGGGCTTAGAGCAATAAAACCTGGATTTGACATTCCTGATATGACCCAGACCGTCTAAGCAGCCGTAGTGGAAACAAGGCTGCAGCTTTTATTTAATGACTTGAACTGCGAATGCAGGAAAATAACATTCACTGCTTTCAGCACCACCCTCCAGCGGTCAGCAGGGATGGAACAGAACTGCTGCAGCTCATCTTGTTCGTGGTTCTCCTAGAGATACTGATAATTTCATGATGAAAGCAGGCAGACATACATCCTGTGAGCTCCGCTCCTGGTCCGTCTTCCTGGAGGAGTTGGACGGTGTGGTTTTCTCTCTGTCCGTCTTCTCCACTGCAGCATCGGGGAAGAGGAACTAAGAAAGGAAACACCTTTTCAATTCAGAGAACGCCTTCTTCACACCGACATGCTCTGAACCTCCTCCACAGGAGGAGCTTCCGAGACTTAAACCTACCAGAAGAATGGAGTTGAGGACATCGGTGTTAAGTGGCGACTCGTCGATGTGGCGGCGGCGGCGGATGTGCTTCCGGGCGCTGTGGACCATGCTAGACACGGACAGTTTGCTGAGTGGGACGGGCGCTGCTGGCTCCGTCAGTTTGGACAAAGCAGAGCTGATGTCGCTGTTTTCTGCAGGGAGGAGATATAGAACATGTCAATTAATTTCAAAGGGCTGGAACTCTGGACCCTTCAAGATCAAACTATCAAACGGTAAAGTTTAGATCTTTTCAAGTATGGTTGGTGAACTTTGGAAAATGTCCCAGAATCAGTTGAGTTTGTGGTTTGGTCTCGAACCAGAAACTAGTTCCAGACCATTGTTTTTTTTAAATTAAAGACAGAAATCAGAACCCTGATGGAGAATCTACATCTACGCTGACATCCAGAGAGGGCTCAGAAAACTGAGCAGAGGGGAAGGTGTGGAAATTAAACGTATTTCCGTCCTTATCTTGGAGAAACTTCCAGACATTTCCAGAGACGTTGGCCTGATCCTTAGAAAAAACAGGAACCTTTTAAAGGTTCTGGATCTTTGTAGAGAATAAAGCAAACTGACCTGGGCCTTCTTCTTCAGCGTGGCTGCGACCCAGAACCTCCTCTGCTGACTCCTTCCGACAGCAAAGCTTAAAGAACTCGGTGATAAAGTCTCCTAGAAGAAAAACCCCTGGGTGGTTTAACAGATCCACACAAATAAAGGCAGAACATAAAATCCAGATAAACTCCTTCAACTATTAAAGGTTCATCGCAAGTAAAATAGTTTAACATCGTTTAAACTACATGTTCTGTGTAAACGTGTTTAGTTGCTATTCTACTGAAACATTTGAAGCATGCTGCAAAAAAAAGTTTAGAAGTGACTGAAACACGGTTCAAAGCTGAGTGGGAACCAGTTACCTACCCAGTAAGCACTGAAGGTTGTCAGCTGTCCTGACTCGAACAGACCAGTGAGGAGCTTCCAGGGGGTCGAGGTCACTGTTGGATATCAGGAAATAAGGTTCAACAAACATCCATCACTCAACCCACAGAAGTCACAGCAATCCCTCTAAGCCCAACGAGGTCACAGCAATCCCTCTAAGCCCAACGAGGTCACAGCAATCCCCCTAAG